TCATCTTTCTCTTTTTAGATCTGAGATGGGAGGTTCTATGACCATATTTCTATGTTATATTTTATTTTATAGCAAAAGGTTAATATTAATATGAGTAGCTCTGGTCTATTATTTTCGACAATCACTTCCATCAAAGAAGTCAGGAGTAGAGACAAAAAAAAGATTAAAGCCACTTCATATTTGTAATGGTGAAGAGAGAGAAAAAAAAAGATATTAACTGTCATTAGAGTGGCCACCTTTCCGACAAAAGCCGCTATTAGAAAAGTCATCCCTAGAGGGGTCGTTATGGGGACAAAAAAAACCACTTAGTATTTGTAATAGTTTGGAGAGAAAAAAAAAATCAAGACATGTTTGAATCTATTTGTTGGTGAGGAATTTGTTCATTAATAAAAGGGATTTTAAGTTTGTTGAGTGAACAAGTGATTTTAAGTTTGATTTAAGGACTAGGTGTTTTTTAGTTTGTTGTACTAACATGGGATTTTAAATTTGTTCTAATACTAGTAAATTTTAAATTTGTTTTAAGAATCGTTAGATTTTAAGTTTGTTCTACAAAGATTTTAAGTGATTTTAAGTTTGTTCGTTCTACAAAGATTTTAAGTGATTTTAAGTTTGTTCGTTCTACAAAGATTTTAAGTTTGTTTTAAGAACCGAATAGGTATTTAAGTTTAATCTAGGAATAAGTTTGTTCTATGAACTAATTATTTTAAGTTTGATCTACTAATAGGTGATTTTTAGTTTGTTTGACGAACATGTGGTTTTTGGTTTTAAGTTTGTTCTACAAACATTAGATTTTAAGTTTGTTGTTTTACAAATAGACTATTTTAAGTTTGTATTTATATTATATAAATTTATACATATAATATTAAGATATTATTACAAATTAGTATTTAAAAAAATTAGAATAATTTATACCTATTGTAACGCCCGCTCATCGCCAACGCGATTAACAGGAGTTACTATCGACAATATTAAGAGACTCTGATACCCAATCATAAAATTAAAAATATTTCTGAAAACATCCAGTAAAGTATTTCTATAAAAGAAAAACAGTACTTTACAAAAAACTTAAAACGACTAAGGTAAATTCTTGACAACGGAAACATAATTACAGAACAGACCCAGACATGGATTTCCAGTAGCCTCTAGCCCGCTGGTCTCGTCCTCGGCTGACCTGCAGCATCTACATCTGGAAAGAAAAGTTATAATAATTATGATGAGTAATTAGATTACTCAGTAAGTAGCTAGTTTATCATTCACAGGTTCATAACTAATCTTTCCAGGTGTTTTTACGTTTTATTCATCACTGACTCCTAGTTCTCTTACTAGGGTCATCTGTTCGTTAATGAGGTATCTCAGCTACCTCCAGCTAGGTTACTGACTCTCTCTCGATATGCTTATCTAGAATTTTCGGACTCGTATGTAAGACTCGCTCTCGGTCAAATACGGCCCGTCTACTAATTGCTCTGGCGGCCTGTTTATCTCATATACCAACGGTCAGGAGTACTCATGCTCCCTGACTTAGCACACAGCGCGTTGGCCAGGAACTCCGCGGGAATTAGTAGACTATCATACTCAGTAAATAAGCCATAGCTCAACCACCAATAAGCATATCTAGAATCATAACCTTTCCATTAACATGCATAACAGACTCACAGTTACTGCATGCTTCCATACATATATCATGATCAACACGTAGAACATTCTGAAAATCATTTATATCACGCTTACAACACAGGCAAGCAGTCACAATATACGATAACACTAAATATCATCAAAGTTCATCATAACTTATTAAGCTCTTAATCAGGTAAACAACATACTCACATGTTGTAAAACAAGTTAAGAACGAGTTCAAAGGTCGATACGCTACTTACTTGGTTTCGAACCCCTTTTTCCTCCTTGAATGTACGTTTAATAGTACTTCAACACAATTCCTTCCTATTAGACCTATATTTTATCAATTTCAACATAAATATAGATCAATTTTGGTAGGACAGGTCAAAAGGAGTCGAACGGGACAAACCGAGAGCCGAATTACCTTCTCACGCGCCCTCACGCGCCAATACAAGGTCGGAGGTTTTGCTTTCTCACGCGCCGATCCGCGCACAGTCGCACCTCCACTCGCAGCCTTCCCACGCGCCTCGCGTGTCCTTCACGCGCTCGTCTTCAACCTCTCCTCCCTGAAATTTTTCCCAATCTTTTCCTTTAATACCCGTTGTGTCCCGAAGCAAAAATTCCATTTCTACAGCTCGAATTTCGTTCTGATTTCTTCTACAACTTTATAGATCTTCTAACTACGGTTCTAACCAGCCTTATCTCATAACTTATTATGCAGT